TCACTATGTTCTCGAATGAACTCACGTTGAAAAATTATAGAAGACAAAAACACCACATCACCCATAGGTGGACACTTCTCACTCCATACCCCTTCTGCGTAACAATCTAATCTTTATTACCCACTTAATCTCAAGTGACATCTGTTATTCCCTACACTTAACTATCATTCCCAATTTATATTTAGCTCAGTTACGATTTCTTTCCCCAGACCTGAAGAACTGTTTCGTTCGAAAATTTGAACCTTCCACCAACAGAAGTTGGTCCAATAAAAGATGTTACCTTACCCACCTTGTCCCTCTCACTGTCATGGCAATTCATAGGAAAAAAACTATAGTGCAAGAACAAAAACAGAATTCCTTCCCATTCTTAACAACAACTTGTATCAAATCACTGGTGAAATAGAACTGGGCACCACTCACAGACAGTGACAACAGCTCAAATGAACAAATGTTGGGATAACAAAAATAATAAAGTAATGTAGCAGCACCAAAAGCAGATTTAGACAGAGCTCCTATTCTGCTTCACAAACTACATCCTCACTCTTGTCACCAGAAATGTGCTTAGCTGACTGATTCCCTGGCAATTAAATCAAGGAGTAACAGGATAAAATAACAATAAATCAATATAGCCTCAAATAATAAACTCTGCCTGCAGTGGACAAACTGCCCTTTTCCACAGCAGCATACAACAGATGTTTCAGAGAATAGAGTGGTTTTCTCTGACAGATGATGTATATAATTGTGCCATGTATCAAAATAATGGGAACCAAAAAAGAAAAATGGGGCTATTCATACCCACCCACTCAAACATGATTTTTGTGGAAGGAGTGTGAGCAGCTGTGTACAATTGCTGTTCAGTGACATGAAAACCAGAGAAGGGCCCAAGTCTGAAAATTAGATTCAGATCGTCCAGTCAGTGGGTGTGTGGGTTAAAATGGTTTAATTATAACTTCAGAAGGTTAAAAATCCAGTCAGCTCCCTGACTACATCGTTAAGAGAGATTTGACAGGAGAGTACCCCAATTATCGTAGTGTAAGTCTCAAACATACAGAATGAAATCCAATAAACTAGTTTCCTTTGCGTAGAGGAAATAGGGATTAAACAAGGCAACAGCTCAAATTTATATCAGACTTATTTAAGAATGAGGAAGGCGTCAGTCATGTAACAAAGACAAAAGATCATCAGAGGATAGTCATCTTTCAACATGACAGAAAACAGCAATGTTATAAAGAGAAAAATGTAACCAGCATCTGCGATACATAGAACAGGGGGATACTGTAAGCAAGGCAAATAGCCTTAAATAATACAGGACTCTCTGCTCTCTCCCACTGTGTGCTGCCTGTATTTCCCCCTCGCCTCTCTTATTAAATTTAAATAAATCAAAATCGGTGGTAGGCTTACAGATTCTCAAAACAAACGAAACAAAACAAAAAACAACCACCCAACCCTGAAGGCCATAAATGACAGATCTGTTCCTACTTCTAAAAAAATGGATTCCCAAAATATACAGTTATCAATTTGATCAAAAGAAGCACAGGCAGAGTATTGTACTAGCTCACAGAGATCTACGTAACTGCAGCATCTTCCTTAGTAAAAAAGTCAAAATGTCCGTTGCGAACATTTTGCTAAATCGTGGTGAAAACCTGGCTCTACTGAAGTCAATGGATTGGTTTTTAAAGGCCAGAATTTCACACAAAATAACCAGAACCACTACCATGTGTCAAATTGTGCGACCATTTCCAACTAACCTAGGTCAACATTACAAAACATGCACTGGGATACTGATGAAGGTATCCAGATAGCGGAGAAAATTCCATGGTCAACCTTGATTAAAATCCAAGTGTGGAGAAAGTTTCCCACATACCTTTTCATTTTTAGGGACATACTGCAAACTCAAAAAGTGGCAACTTTCCAAGGTTTTATTTTTATAATGAAAATTTTGCACAATTCTCCAGCAAAACTCTAAACTTCTGAAATTTTTAGCCAGTTTAACTGTATAAAGTGAAATCTATACACAATTTTAAAAGTGCATTTTTGTTTAAATCACAAAATTTTATATATGTAGCCTTTCTAGGCAAATTAACAATCTTCAGTTTCTCTCAGGTAGGCAGATTTCTTTCAGTTTTTAAAATGCATAGCCAAGACTACTTGCAGCAGTAGAGAAAATACCTAAAATACAGGTCAAATGCTTTTTGACAGTTTCTTGGACAATTATGCCAAAGTAGTTTGGCAAACCTATCGTGAGATCTATAAACATGTTCCTTTTTGTGGCCCTAAAACCCCCTGGAGTTTGTCTTTGGCACAGTTCAGATAGAAACTGTCCTTTCCAGCTGAAAGTCTCGTACAACACTAAGTTAAGAAGGAGAGCTTCCTGGTAAGAATTCCTCTATCTTTTCCCGGCCGTGAATAACAATCAATCCTAGATCTGTTTTATTGAATGGTTTCTCTTCTCAGGATTGGAGTTCACTCACTCTACCTGGGCCCACAAAGAGAAATGGGAGTATCAGTCTCAAAAGCATGAGCAGTATTTGACACAACATACAGAAGAGGGAGATTAAACGTAACCAAAGATACAGAGTTTGAGTCAAGAGGCAGAAAATAAAATGAACAAAATAGATATTCTAGGTGTGGAAGGAAACAAGGGGCCAGGAACTAATCAAAGGGAGATAAAGAGAAAGAATGAATATGACAGAAACACACGAGAGAAAGAGAGGGGTTGCTGCATTCCATCTACCAAACCAACCCATCATTCTGGCTGTAACTACCCAATCTGATGTCATCTTCTCATTTCTGTTTTCTGAACTCTCCAGTTCCTCCCAACAAATGCCACAGTACTAATACTATGCAGTAACTGGGAATGTATACATCCATGCTAAGGATGTGAAACTTTCAAAACCCAGAGATTACTTATACCTTGTCCTGAAATTAAGTACCCACTGTGTTGTTCATATCTAGTACAATAAAACTTGGTTTCAACTGTTTTCCCCACACATTGTATACTGCCATGAATTTTTATCTTTGCTGCGTATGCAGCTTTGTTATACTGCAAGAATCAGGGGGCATAGATGCAGAATATAATACAAAATACATTCTATGTGAATGTTGCAGATATTTTTGAAATGTCTGCGAACATCTTGTCCTCCAGTTACTACCTACAGACAGGTTCTACCTGCGAAGAATTTTAATCCATGCCCAACGGGGAGGGGAAAAAAACTCTTTTTTAATCACTTTACTGTCTGAATGATCCCTTAGTAGAGAAGATGGAGTTGAAACCTTATTTTTTAAGTATGCATCCACAACGTTAACCGACTCACCACATTCAGAAATGTGGAATCAGTATATGGGAGAGGTAATTTTCTGAATACCCTGGAGACCCAGGGTGGAAGTCCTAGCCCCACTGAAGTCAGTGATGAAACACTCCATTGACGTCACTGTGGCCAGAATTTTACTCTCAAAACAAAGAGATGCACCCATTAAGCTCAAAGTTCTTAAAGGGAATGTAGTGTTTCATTGGCACAATAAATTATTACCTTTAATGCCATTAGCATTCAAATACCATACATGTCAAAAGAAAAACAAGAACTCAGTAAACAATTTCTGAGTGAACTTGTCATATATATTTTTTCAGTCCCAGATTATCTTTCCACCTTACGGGGGTGGGGGTGGGGGAGAGAGTTTCATTTAGTGCTCAGAAAATGGCTGGACTGGAAAGCCTGGAAGCTGAAATCTTCTATTTATCCACAGACCAATTACAGCATAGGAAGTAGCAACAGCACCACCACTAGCTTTTCCAGACTTCCTCACTAGTATGAGAGCTCTTCTGTGTCATGGTTAAGTGAAGAGCTCAGTCTCCATGCAGTTCTTGGCCTCTGCTGCCGCCCCCAGGCCGTATATTGGTTTAATTTCTGATTATAGGTTTTGTGGACTAAAATTGGACTAAAACCATCAACTCATTCCAAGATGATAAAAGGGATCAGATGGTAAAAACTTGTGTACTATAACTGAACTGGATTTGAACCACTAACATAGAGTTGAAGGACACCTTAATCTCTTCACACTTTCTGGAATCACATCTCCCAGGCCTTATGTTTTTTTCTGATATTTATCTTCCTATCTTCTATCATGATACATATGTGTTTCTATATACATGCGCACACACACACACAAAGATATATATATACAAATACACAAAGAATTATTGAATTTAGCACAATTTTAAAAATCTGCTTTATGTAACTCTGTTTTTAAGACTCCTTTTAAAAGTGATTATCACAGCCTTACCAGAATTCTTATTTGCTGTATTGAATTTATTTGCCTATGTTCTTATTAATTTAATGTATGCAGTTTTTAACTCTTAATCATTCCAATTTAAGAAACACTTTTTTACATGAGAATGCAAACAAGCTTGGTCAAATATCTTTCTTTCACCAATTGCTGGTTTGTTATTTTTCATAATTAAATACATTTTTCAAAAAAATCTCTTCCATTACAAAGCTAGAGACTACACTTGGATAACTTTACAATGCTCAGGGGCTACATACTCAGAGTCCCAGTACTGCTATTGAGCTTTGGAATCCCAATTATAACAACTAATCGTGTCTTGTTGCTACTACAGCACACAAAAGAAAGCACAAGATGACAAGAGGAAAAAAACATGGGAGTAATAAAATCTGAAATGTTATGCTTTGTAATAAAAAGGATATTACAATTGCCTATTTTCTTGATATCCAACCAGAATTTCTAGTCTAGTAAATTATGAATATGAGAAAGAATAAAGAAAATCCCAGTGTTATTAAAAAATTCTGAATTGCAATGCAGTCTCTATACAAAGACTTGGTCATTCTGAAAAGCTTAAACTTCAATAAATGAAATATTCTGCACTACTCTTCTCTAATACTACTTTTGGAGCTTTAAAAATGTGAAAAGTTCATTGATATACGTTCCTTCTTTAAACAATATTTTGACTCCCAACAGTAACGTACGTATGTAAAATAGCTTACCTTGTGTTCTTCTACTTGATGTTTTAAGTCTTCTAGATCAGGGCCCAGGGGCTCTGACTCAATTTTCTTTGTCCTTTCTTCTGTTTTTGCTAGCCAGTCAGATAACTGTGTTAGCTGCTGATTCTGCAGGTCCATGAGAATTTTATGTAAGCTAGAAACAAGGAAAATCATCACTTACATTTGTACATGTAAGAAACCAGTAAGCAGAAAGGTTTGCTTACACTTGCACTTTTTTAAAAGTTAAATTTAATACTTGTATCAATAGGTGCTCACAAGCCAGCCCTGGTACAGTACTGCAGGTTTACCCACCTTGTCCTACTAATAGGTTTAAACCACTACCTAGAAAGGCAATATATTCATCTCAGATGGTAGTTTGGATTCCAAGCCCATTCCATTTGCTGAGACTGCCAACAAAGGTACCATTTTATGTTTTCAAATGGATGGAAACAGAGGCCACAACTCATTTCTGTGGCAATGTACTGAGAGACATCCGGTAACACTGAAATTGGCCCATCCTGATCAGCCTGATTTGAACCAGTCAATGTGAAATATCTCACTTTACTAGCTGGGCATTATCTATTTATTGCTGGCACTTCAAACCAGTGCATCTTACTATTAAGAGCTGGTCAAAAGCTGGAAATTTCCACCCTATGGGAAATTCTAATATTTTGATTTGGGAGGGGAGAAGGGAATCCTCATTTGGGACAAAGTCAAAACACACACACACTTTTATTTATTTATTTTTATTATTATTTTTAGGGCCATAAATGTACAGAAAGTTTCTATGCTAAAAATCTTGAAATATTTTGTTTCAGCTTTGGTTTAACATCAAGCTATTTCTGCATACCCTGCCACAGTGCCTCATCGGAGCGGTCACAGATGCCGACTCTGTGGGTGCTCCGGGGCTCAAGCACCCACAGAAAAAAAGTAGGGGGTGCTCAGCACCCACCAGCCACAGTTGTTCAGTGGACTGGGGGTCTTGGGGGAGGGGTGGGAAGAGGCGAAGTGAGGGCAGGGCCTCCGAGGAGAAGCAGGATTGGAGCACCCACTGGGAAAAATAAAAGGGAGCTCCAGTTTGGTTGCCTCATGTTCCTGTTCTACTCTATTGGCCATGATGAACAGGGACAGCCCAGGTGGGTGCAGCAGTTTGTTTCATTTAGACAACCTGGCAGGTTTCAATTCAGGTCTACCTGAGCCCAAATGAAATATTTCATTTCTTTTTATGTGGAAAATTTTGATTTTACTGAAACTGCATTTTCCATTCCAAAAACGTTTTGATGGAAAAGTCCTGTAAAGCTCTAGTTACTAAACCATGCGCCCCTCCCCCCCTCCTGAACAATGTAATAGCTGTTACATTGGTTGGGGGAGATGATTAAGCCTAGACTGACTCACTGGAGAATGTTCCACAGGAGGGACAGTTGCTCATAATGTAAGCTATATTTACAGAATTTCAGAACATATAAAAGTAAGTTTTAATTGCTGAGATGGTTAAAAGAGTTCCAAATGGAACCATTTTCTATCTATAGTTCTGTTTAAATTGAAAACAATTCAGTAAAATCACATTTATTTTACTGAAATGTAATTTGAGAGAAAAACCAGGAAAAATAGTTTCTCGAACACCCTGTTCAACATTCTTGGAATTAAAAGTTTCAATTTTTTTTAAAATGTAGTATTATATTATGTAGTATAATATGTAGTTTAAAATATTAAAATCAAAGCCAAACAAAATGGTTCAAGCAATCAGACTGTGGTATAATGCCCCATATTCTTCATAGTAATATTATGATGATGATTATGGCATAACTATGATGTATTTTATGCAAGTTAGGTCTTGTAAGATATCATTGAAAAGCTTATGATTCACAGAATATGATTATCCTATTTGTATGCATGTATCATTTTGGTATCTGAAGTTAGGAATATTGCCTATGCTTCTATTACAAATGTGTTTACACTTGGGGAACACCCACTAGTTAGAATGCAATCAATCTAGATTGCTGGCTGGGAAGGGCCATTAGGGAGAACAAATAGTCTTAGAAGATGCTAATATTCCACTGGGGAGCCTTCCTGAGGATGCTACAAACAGTCTCCAAGTCACGGCTGCTCTGTCCCTACAGAGACATGTGACCAAGTCACCTGGTCCTGGACTCCATCTTGGAATACCAGTGTTTTTCCACTGACCGGGTATGGGAACCAAGACAGGAGACAAAGGGTTCTGTAGAGGGGTGGTCACCCTACTCCTGCCCTAAAGGGCATAAAACAGCCCTGGGAGGGGGCTGCAGCAGGGAAAGACCAGGCTGATTGGGGGAAGCAGCCACAGGTGGGACCATGCCCCAATCAGGCCACAATTGTCCCTATAAGAGGGCAGAGGGCCAGAGACTAGGACACACACACTCTAGCCTTTTGAGAGAGAAGGACCTGGTTTCCTAGGAGCTAAGCAGGGCACCGAGACTGGAGCAGGGCTGGGGAAAGGGTAGAGTAGCTGGGGAGCTCCAGCCTAGAAACCCCCCAGGGTGCAGATCTTGGTAAAAG